TGTATATCGATGTGTTAACGACATGTCTTTATGTATAAATCGGGGCAAAAATTGCGGCTTTCTTTGTGACAATCTTCTGCCAAAACATTTTCTTTAGCTATTTGAGTTCGACAGTATGGACAGAATAACGTTCTACTCAATGTATAAATAATGAAAAACGTGTCTGATTCATTTCAATAAAGAAAAAACTTTTACGAGTGCATGGAAAGTTAACTGGGCCGGGTTACAAACAAAGCTACCCCTTGTTTTAAAATGCTGTAAATTAATATACTGTTTACTGACCTAGCCATTTTTCTTTGATAGAATTACGTAACTTATTAGAAACATCGTAGTTGACATTGCTTATTTAGCATAATTGCGTTATTCTCGTCAGTTTACACATTATAGTATGTAGGTGACAGTTGACAAAATAGCTTTATGATAAAATGAAGGAATTTGCTAAGAACAAAATCTTTTATTACAAAACTGAGAGAGATCGATGTTATGTACATGTATGTTCATCATTTTGAAAAGCATCTTTGCAGATTAAGCATTATTTTTATAACTATAAACTTCATTGAAAAAACAAAAAAGAATCTTTCTATCCTTTATTAGACCTAATATAATGTAGAGACGAAAAATTTGAAAAAAGTTTTGAAAAAATTTCAAATGAATTCACAGGCTATTCTTTCTTTGTTTCAGTCTGAAATATAACATAACACAACTTTAATTAATTATTATCAAAAAATAAAAAATAAATAAATACAATTAATAAGAAATACTGAAAATAAACAAACATAAAATTACTTTGGCATTTGCTTCAACCCTTTTAATTCTCCCATGCACCAAGTTAGGATGAATGAAGTCATGCTGACAATTAGCATATCCAATCCCTATCCCAATTCCTGATCCAAAAACAACAGGCCATGGTCTTCCTGGAAAAAAATTTATGAAAATATTATATATATTTAACATGAAAATATTTTAAATATAATGTATTAAGAAATTATTAAGAAATTATCATTATAATATAAACCATGAAATAATTGTGACAAATCAAAAATGAAAAATTCTATAACTATGTATTAAAAAATCATGAAAATTTATTATTAAAGATTTACTTTTAAAAAATATGACGGAAAAGACAACTCCCAATCCAGCACCCATTGCTAAAAATTAAATTAAATCAATTTTTAATATAAAAGTATTAAAATTACATTTATATTTTAATTTAAAACAATAACATAACATTATTTAATTATCATGAAAACTGAAAATTAAAATTTATTTTATTTAATAATATAATATAAAATTATAAATAATAATTAATAAATAAATTACTTATATACGTCATAAAAATGAAATAAAACCAAAAAAAGTTAAAATTAATAAAAAAAAAACAAAATGTAACCAATTTTAATAGCGGACTCTGACAGGCAGCGATCCCATTTTTCTCCGTAGATGTCTTCGGATTTCGTGTGCGGTGAACCAGGAGTAGCCATTTTTTTTGTTTACGTTTACAAGGTCATTAAAAGGGAAATTAATTTTAATTCTGACAACGGCGCTTCATTTCGGAAAAAATCGATTTAACCCCATTGCAGGAAAGGCCAGCCAACAAGACACACAATATTAAGTTACGTAAGACACAGTACACTCCAGCCATCTACACACCCACACACGCATACATTCACACACGCACACACACACTCTCAAAAAGTTAAAAAAGGTTAAAGGTCAATTACTACTCCTTCTAGGTTTAGAGAAATGAACCATGGAATGAACATGCACAAACATCGCACGATAAATCACGCAATACACACGAAGGACGTGACAGTCGGAGATTTTTTTGTTATATTTACTTCTACAGATTACAAATTTCAACCGGACGACGAGAATGAACATTATTTATCTTTTTTGATGTTTAATTTCTTATTTAAATTATGATCAAAAGTTTGAATATATTAATTCAAAATTTGAAAAATTATAAACTTAAAAACTTAATGCTTGAAATAAAGTACAATAATGTGCTGCTGTTGGTTTTTGAGAACACAGTTACAAAACTGCTTGTGATTGTAAAATTCTATTCTTGCAAGTATGTGGTAAAGTTATAAAAACAACTTTGAGTTTTCCACATTTTTGTAATCTCGTCCAAATTTAAACAAAATTCAAATGTAATAACAAACAAGTAAAAAATCGCCCAAACTCCTGAAAAGCATCGAACAGCCGCACGTTTAGTTATCAAATGATTGATTAATTTGGTAATTAAGTAATTTAGTAAATAACTAGTTAAAAAATTCACGTACATGTACATAAAATCTACGTTTAAATTTGTAAAATAAAACGTAAAAAACGTCACACACACAACCAGCCACACCCATCTGCTCCTCACTGGTTGGCTTGTGATGATGAAAAATGAAGGGGTGAAATAAACCGGTTGGGATGTACTATGGAAGTGAATGAACTATGCAATATATATATATATATAATATATATTATATATATGTGTGTGTGTGAGAGTGTGCGTGCGTGTCTGTGTGTTTGTGCGGGAGAGGGGGGGGAATGACATCTGATCTATACAAAATAAAATCAATGTTGTAATGTATTATTGCTTTCTATATATATATATATATATTAGCATTTTTATATGGTATATCTATTTTATATAAGATGTATATAATATATATATATATTATATATATATATATATTAATATCCGCAATAAATATATATATATAAATATATATATATTTATATATATATATAGTGTATACCCACAATAAATATATATATATATTTATGTATATATAGTGTATATATATATATATGTATATATACACACACATGTATGTTATATTATCTTATCACATATACTTACATGTTTATATGTAATATATATAAACACTTAGTAATATAACACATACAATATACATATACAACAAACATATACAATGTACATATACAACATACATATACAATATACATATACAATACACTTACATATACGACATACATATACAATATACAACATACATATACAATATATATGTAAATCAGTATGGCTTGTGTCTATACATATAATATGTGCAATTGGGGGTAAAGGTTAAAAGACTATATATTGCGGATTGAAATTGAAATGGAAAATTTTTTAGAAACTGAAAACATTGGAACATCCAAGGTTGTCTGCTGGATGAAAAATGAAAATGAAATATGCTTTCAGAAAAGCCATAGTTAAATTTAAATGCATTATCATTTAGAAATTAACTTAATCAATGGCAGATTTATGAATAAATTAAAGTTAGTTAGATTTATCAGCTGATGAAATTGCAATCTAAAAAATAAAACATCATCCTCTCTTTTATCATTTTATTTTCATCTCTTTTAAAAATTAATAATTAATTTAGCAATCAACTTGCTTTAATAAAAAATACCCTAGTCTTGTGTTTTTGTAATTTTCAGTATTCTATTTTACTTAATTGACCAGTTTGGTTATGGAATAAATAAAGTTAACTTTCAATTGTGGCTGGCTATTCATCTCTAGAGTTATAATATAATTTGTTTTTTAAAATTGTTTTAACAAAAAATAAAAAAAAATGAGTGATACCAACTTGACAAATGGCAATGGAAAATTGGAGACAAGTGACGATCAGAATGGAGTCATACAACCTCTACTCTCTGGTTTGTATCAATATTTTTTTATTCATTCATTTTCAATTCTATCAATCAATCAATTAATCAATCAAACAATCTGTATATGCCTGTATGTTTCAATCAATCAATCCCAAAACTATTCATTTGTTTGTTTATTTAAATAGAATCCTGAGTGCATGGTAATGTGTGTGTATTTGTATGTATGCATGTATGTATGTATGTATGTATGTATGTATGTATGTATGTATGTATGTATGTATGTATGTATGTATGTATGTATGCATGTGTGTATGCATGTATGTATGTATGTGTGTATGTATGTATGTATGTGTGTATGTATGTGTGTATGTATGTGTGTGTGTATGTATGTGTGTATGCATGTATGTATGTATGTATGTATGTTTGTGTGTATCCATGTGTGTATGCACCACACAGATTACTACCAGATCACGATGGCCTATGCTTATTGGAAGAGCAGGAAGCATGCAGAGAGGGCAGTCTTTGACCTTTACTTCAGGAAGAATCCATTCCAAGGGGAGTTCACCATCTTCGCTGGCCTCGAGGAATGTCTCAAGTTCATTCACAATTTCAGTTATTCTGAAAAAGGTGGATATATGTGTGATGTACACACAAACGTACACATATATGTATGCATAACAACAACAACAACACACGTTTAGACGGCATTTTCCCCGAGATCGGGGGTTGCCGTTTGGCTACCTATGATGAAACCGAAATACCCCTCGACGCCATCCACATCTGTCACTCGCCTCAGTATCACGCAACCCCGCTTTCACCCTGTCCTTCTCCACCTGCTCTCTCCATCCCAATCGCGGACGACCCCTTCCTACCACTCCTTCAACCTCGAACTCCAACGCTCACCTAATCCCGATCCTTTTATCCCTTCTCAACACATGTCCATACCACCGCAATCTCGATCTCCTTATCAATGTCACAATGTCCTCATTCAATCCCATCATTGACATCAGCTCTGTACTACTCCTCCTATCCTTCACTTTAACCCCACACATATATGTATGCATACATACATATATTCATACATATATTCATACATACATACACACAGACATACATACGTACATATATATACACAGACACTAATACATACAAAACACATACACATACACATCCATATATGCACACGCACACACACACACACACACACACACACACACACATACACAGACGTTGAATACCTAAGAAAGCTGCTGCCAGTCCATACAGAGTCTGAATTCTTTAACTACCTATCACACTTAAATACCAACGAAGTAGAGGTGTATGCCATCGATGAGGGCATGGTGGTGTTCCCCAAAGTACCCCTCTTGAGGTTGGAGGGCCCTCTGGCCGTGGTTCAGTTACTGGAGACCACTTTGTTAACTCTTGTTAATTATGCAAGGTTTGTTTTTTGTCTGCGGAATTGTATTTTGATGAGATAGATTGTGTTGGTAGTTCTCTATGGTAATAAAGTTTGGGAAGACATTTGCGTGCGTGTGTGTGTGTGCGTGCGTGCGTGCGTGTGTGTTTGTACGTGACGGGTTGTGTGTGTATTAACATTAATTAACTTTCCACCCATCTAATTAGCATTTCAGTTCATTAATTTTAATGAGCTGTTGGTTTATACGGATTGGGAATGAAATAACTAATGCTTTTATTTTTGATAGCGTTTACTTTATATTACAACAGGCACGCACATTATTATTATTATTATTATTTTTATTATTATTGTTAATATTATTAATTCAGTTTGGTAGCGACAAATGCGGCCAGATTCCGATTGGCGGTAGGTCCAAAGAAGGGGTTGTTGGAGTTTGGCCTAAGGAGGGCTCAGGGACCTGATGGGGGCCTCAGTGCTTCAAGGTTATTATTATTATTTATGTGTTATTTTTATTATTATTATTGTTGTTGTTATTATTATAGTGTTGTTGTTGTATAGATATTGCTATATGGGGGGTTTCGACGCGACGAGCAATTTACTGGCTGGCAAATTGTTTGGCATACCAGTTAAGGGAACACACGCTCATGCCTACGTCAGTTCATTCAATGGCCTTGAAGATGTCAGAGATAAGGTCTGCTTTGATTGGCTGGCTGATTTGTTGAGTGGGCTAGTTGATTGGCTGGTTGCTGGATTGGTTGAGTTAGCTGATTGGTTGGTTGGTTTGTTGATTTTGAGTTTGTTGATTGGCTGGTGGGCTAGTTGATTGGTTGGTTGATTTTGCTGAGTGAGCTGGTCGGTTGTGTAGCTGATTTGTTGATTGTTCATTAAAAACTAAAAAAATTTTGTTTTTATTATACAATAATAACAATAATAATAGTTGTGTTAAAAAAAAATAATAAAAATAAAAAATTAATTTAATTAAAGATGTTGAAGTGTAAGGCAAACAGTAGTGACTCTATAGATATTCTGCAAAGAAGTTTACATTGGCTCGAAGCACTCACAACAACTTTGAGTGAGTAACTTTATTTATTCGTTCGTTCATTTGTTCGTCCGATCATTCATTCATTCATTCATTCATTCATTCGTTCGTTCGTTCGTTTATTTATTTGTTCGTTCATTTGTTCGTTTGTTCGTTCACTTAATTATTCTTTTTTATTCCGTCAATCATACGTAACCTTTGATATTTGAGTTATTCAGTTGAAAGAAATATATTTTGGATGAATGTTTTTTTTGTCTGTTATATGTAATTTTTTTTTCAATTTACTTTTTATTCTATGTCTGTCCGTCTAACATTTCGTTGTTTATGTTTTTTTGTTTCGATCTCTTTTTATTTAGTTTTTTTATTTTTGGCTGTTATTTTTTGTTGTTTTCTGTGACAGATTTTTGTTTTATGTTCCAATTATCCATTGGATGAACTTTCAACTATGGCTGTCTTGGAAACATTGGAATTAGTTACATAATTATCATCTTTTAAGAATTTGTTTGTTTGTATGTATGTTTGTTTGTATGTTTGTTTGTTTGTTTTTATGTATTGGCTGTGGTTATTGACTGATGCATGTATGTTTGTATGTATGTATATGTGTATATATATTTATGTGTATATACGTGTATGTATGTATGTATCTCATTCGGATTTTAATATACTTGTTTCTATAATTAATTACGAATTAAATTTTGTTTACTATTGGATTGTTTCAAATAATCCACCTATCAATTTAAGTAAAACATGTTTTATATTATTTGGTCCTAAAATTAGAACAGATATTGTTTACCTAGTTATATATTTAAATAATATTACCATTGAAAGGGTTGAGTCATTCAAATTTTTGGGAGTTATTTTATCCTCTAACTTATCTTGGTTGAATCATATCAAACATATCTCCTGTAAACTGTCTAAATACTTGGGTCTTATTTATCGTCTGAGGTTTAAATTTTCTAGATTTATCTTAACAACTTTATATAACTCTTATTCTTCCTTATTTGACTTTCTGTGTTTCTGTCTGGGGTGGTACGTCTAAATCTAACCATCATATTTTAACTCTAGGTCAAAATTTTTTTCTTCGCATTCTGTTTAAATTAAAGAGATTTGACCATGTAAGTTCATACTATCAAACAGCAAATATCTTTACCATAAACCAACTACATATTATTTATCTATTACTATTTTTTTTAAAATGTTTAAATTAAATTATTGTCAATCTCTTAAAGATCAGATTAATTTATTTAAAAATACTAGGCAAAATTGTTTACATTCTAATTCTGAATTTTACTTTTTGAAACCTAGAACAAATTTTTTCCTCAACTCTGTCTTACACATCTCTATGCGTCTTTGGAATTCATTACCGATGACTACTAAAAACTCTTCTACTCTTGCTCTAATTAGAAAATCTATCTATTTGCTCATTCAGTCTAATTATTTCAACCATGTCCTTTGTTGATGCAATTGTTTTTCGTTATGTACTTAATATTTATTCAATTTTAAGATGGTTCAATACTTAAATAATTTAATTAATTCTATTTTTTTCTTATTTATAGAACTACCATTATTTCATTGTGAAATGTAAACATTTTTTTCTATTTATAATTTTTGGTGCCAATTTCATATCTTCGGGTCTCCAGGCTTTTTTGCTGAATGAACTCATTATTGAATTGAATTGAAATTGAATATAAGCATATGTAATTATGTATGTATGCATGTGTGTATATATATTTATGTGTATATACGTAATGTATGTGTGTATAAACGTATATGTATGTGTGTATGTGTATATACGTATATATGCATGCCTGCTGTAATACTATCAGTTTTCTATTTATTTTGAAAACATAATCATTTGCTGAAGCTGTGATTTAAACACATGGATATATATAAATATCCATGTTTTAACATAAGATATACCGTATCATAAACATTTTCTTAATTTTTTCCCCAAATTTTTTTCATTTATTGTAAATTAATCAACCAATTAGTTAATTAATGTTTATTGATTTAGTAGGAATATTATTGTACGGATATTATGACCATAATAAATAAATAAATAAATAATTCTGTTCCCTAAGTTATAACCAGAGTGCTAACCTTTTTATGATTTGTTTCCATGGAATGTTGGTGTTTTTCTAGGCAGACGACATAGCAATGCGATGTTTATCTATCATAATATTTTTTATCTCGTCTTGTTTTCCTCCTTTACTTCTGGGTTTGCCTCTGCTTTATTTTATTTTTAAACGTTCCTTTGTCGTTCTCTCTCTCTCTCTCTCTCTCTATCTCTTCCTCTCTTTCTTTTTTTCTTTCTTTCTTTCCTATATTTTTTTCCCGGTTTTATTTCCGAAAAATTATATCAGTTCTCTCCCCTTCTTTCTCTCTATTTCTATCTTCCTCTCTCCTTTCCTCTCTTTCTCTCATCCTTATTCCTTCTTTGTTCTATCCTTTTTTCATTCATTCACTCCATCTTCCTAACCTCTATTTTGATAACATATCACTCACATGGGTGCTGCATATGTATATATGTACATTTAGTAGGTGGGTTATTGTGATGATGACAGCATTCAGTCTTTCATTTAAGTACATAAATGTGATGTTCTTGTGATGTGATTGATGTTTTGTTTGGTTATGTAACCATGTTCTTGTTTATTCACGTGAAGGGCTTGATGTTTTGTATTGTGTGTGAGTGTGCGTGTACGTGTGAGTGTTTGTGTGCGTGAGAGAAGAGAAAGGAAAGAGAGAGAGAGATAGAGAGAGAGAAGAAAATTATATACAGTCTTGTTTAAATTTGCAGGAGTTAAATCTTACATACAAACTTTATTGATAGTGTAAATCATTTTAAATCAATTTTTCTGAATCTTGAGAGAGAGAGAGAGAGTTATGAGTGATTGAGAGAGGATGATTAACTTTTAATCTTTCACAAAAGTATACGGTCTTGAGTAATTTGCGATTAATTTTAGACTTTAATAACTGCGTGTTAATCATTGTAAATCTTTCTTTGACTCTTAAGATTATGTCGAAAGTGAGACGAGCAAGGTAGAGTTGGCAGCCTTCATATCGTACGGACTGGCCTTCCCAGATGATTTCCTCTGTCTCATTGATACATACAGCGTCATCAAGTTTGTTGTTTGTTCGTTCGTTCGTTCGTTCGTGTTCGTATGTTCGTTCGATCGTTCGTTTGTATGTTCGTTTGTTCATTCACTTGTACGTTTCTTTCATTCATTATAAATGTTAGGTGAAGATAATTTTTTTGTCTAACCTTTTAGAAGCGGTCTACCGAATTTTTGCGCTGTTTCTTTGGCGCTGATAGAAGCAGGGTACGTACCACTTGGTGTCAGACTGGATAGCGGTGACCTCGCCTACCTGTCTGTCATCGTCAGGCAGTCCTTTATGAAAATTGCCGACGAGTTAGCTGTTGTTGTTGTGTGTGTGCGTGCGTGTGCACATGCGTTTGTGTGTGTGTGCGTGTGCGCGCGTGCGTGTGTATGTGTTGATTGCTGAATGATTGAATTGAGGAGGATTTTGTGGTCATCATAAAAAAAAATTGCAATTCAACTTCAGTAAAGGCCATGAATGATTAAGCCTTTGTGCATGAATGATTGAATGAACGAACGAATGAATAAACGAATGGATGAATGAAAGATGGAGACAGTCAATCAATCAATCAATCAATCAACCAACCAATCAATCAAAGATATAATCGCCCTGCTTTTGAGAAGTTGACGATCGTTGCTAGCAATGATATTAATGAAGAGACAGTTCATTCGCTCAATCATCAAGTTGGTTAAATTGTTCAATTCATTTTAATTATCATTTAAATATTAATTACTGTCATTCATTTATAAATTAATTAATCGATTAAATAGTTATTATTAATTGCCTACAATTTATTTATATATTATTGTTTAATCTCTCAATCATTCATTCATTCATTCATACATTCGTTTATTCATTCATTCCTTTATTCATTTATTCATTCATTCATTTTTTTTATTTATATTTATAATTTTTAATAATTTCCTGTACAAATTTATTTGCGCTGAACTATTTATAGGTAAGAATGAGGGCAGCATTGATGGTAATGAGTGATAACGTATGTTAATGTATGGTATATGAATTTTGATTCATGTTAATTTATGTTAATGAGATGTAATCCGAGACAAGGAATTGCTATAATTTATGCAAACGAATTATAACTCATGCAAATGAATTATAATTTATGTTAATGAGAGTGCTTCGTTTTAATTTGAATCCAGTACATATATTATTATTATTATTATTATTGTTATTAGTAGTAGTAGTAGGAGTGGATTACAAATCTGTATATATATATATAAATGCATCTTTATGTGTGTCTGTGTATGCATGCGTTTTTGTTGTATTAAAAGTAGTAGTTGAAGCAACAGCAGCAGTAGTAGAAGTAGTAGAAGTAGTAGTAGTGGCTTGCAATTGGGAGAGTTGTTCGTCAGTGATAATATTAATTTACCTATTGTTATTAGTACTTTTTAAATGTTAATAATATTAATAATGTCATTTTTTTTTCATTTATTTATTAACACAAAATGTGTCTATACGTATTTGTATATTGAAAAATGTTATATAAATTGTGCTGATATATGCGATACACATGTTTCTATGTAAATTGTGGTTATGTGCGTACATGGTTACACGCACACACATACCCACACATACACGTGCACATACACACACACGTGTACACACACTCACACACACACTACACTGAGGATGATGATGATGAAAGGATGAAGTGCATAAATATTTATGCTATGGTGTATAGAATATATAAACAAACAATAATAATATTAAGTCTGTGTGTGTGTGTGTGTGTGTGTGTGTGTGTGTGTGTGTGTGTGTGTGGATGTGTGTGTGTGTGTATGTGTTTTTGGGTCATATTTAGTTGTTATCAGATGAGCTGATGTTTCGTTGTTTTGTTATTCAAGATGATATGATGATGATGATAATAATAATAATAATAACGGTTTCATGTATGTAGGTATAGGTAGGTTAAAAACAATAAGCGCATTCATTCATAGAACGAGCGATTGAAATGAAGGAAGACTTGTTTATATGTTTTGTCGATTACTGCAAAGCTTTTGATAGCGTGAAACACTTGGAGCTTATGGGAGTATGTATTGGAAAATTTGGACATTGATGGCAAAGACAGGAGAGTTATCATAAACCTCTATTGGGAGCAATGAGCAGCGACGAAAGATGCTAACAAGATGCTAACATCCATCCATTCATCTGTCTCAAGTAACAAGTTTTGACGAAATAAGGAAAGGTGTTTGAAATGTGGTGAAGTGTGGTGGTGAAATAAAGAAAAGTTTCTGCGACACTTGTTGAATATCACCACATTTCAACTCTTACGAAGTGTTAAAGATCGGGTTTTGTGGGGGGTCGATGGTCGCCAATGCCCTGAATGGATAAGACCCGAGAAAGAAGAAGAATTATTCATCTATCGTTACACTCCCTCATCATTCATTTCCTCATCCATGGATCTATCCATCCATTCATGTATTCGTTCATCTATTCGTCCATCCATCTATCCATCCATCCATCTGTCTCACTTTTTTCTATTTTATTTTATAACGTTGCTTGTGATTTACATTGAAAAATTTTTTGAACCAAGATGAACATCAGGGGTAGAATTTTATTTAAACCTCTCAAGCTTATTTGAAAATAAAAATTAATTAATTAATTAGTTAATTGATTAATCAATCTATCAATTAATTTATTAATTAATTAAGGTTTATAGACACTTGTTTATGTTTTGTATGTGTTAAGTTGTTCAAATGCACACACGCAAACTTTGGAATAATGTTTATATGTGTATTTTTCCTTTCATATTATTATTATTATTATTATTATTATTATTATTATTATTATTTTGTAATAATAATATTAATAATAACTATAACTATTTTTATTATCATAAGTATTTGTTGATTATTATTGATAGAATTATTATTTTTTGTAGGTAGTGGGTTTAAAACCTGGTGTCACGCAGGCAAGTTCAATTCTTATGTAGTATATGTGGTGGTCACCTCTCTCTCTCTCCTCTCTCTTTCTCTCCTCTCTCTCTCTCCTCTCTCTTTCTCTCCTCTCTCTTTCTCTCTCTCTTCTTTAAATCTTTCCTGTTCCTAATTGTTCATGAGCTGTTTGGCTTTTTTTATTTTATCCGTTTTTTGGTTGCTTTTGTAGAAGTCCTCGCCCTTATATATATATATATATATATATATATATATATATGTGTGTGTGTGTGTGTGTGTGTGTGTGTGTGTGTGCACGTCTTAAAAGCTGACAAAAGCTAACAGACTCTAGTAATTGTTTTAACAATAATTAGCATGCAGCTTATGCATGCTGGGGTTGAATCTTGAATCTAGGCTCTGATAACGATAGTAGCATGTAGGCCTAGTGACATTCTCATCCGTTTGTGCAATGCATGGGAGATTTATATGTTCAACATTGGCCACGATTAAAGACGTTAATAACAGTTTTGGCTATTGTAGGCTAGCTTCTAGATTAACATTTTAAAATTGATTTTTAAAATCAATTTGCATTTTCGCTACTTTTATACTACTGGCCAATCGACTACTTGTCTATACTGATTTCGTGATTGCTTCTATACGGGCTCAGTGACAATATCTGATTACGTAGATTTGTTCGAGTAGAATTTTACAGTATAAATTGGCTCTGCGGTTGTGTAATGGTTAAGATGTCTGCAAAGAATCCAACCATCCAGTCCTCGAATCACAATTAACTGCAAATTATTTGAAAAAAATTCAACTAATTTTCTAATATTTTATCTATAATATATTCATTCGTATGCTATTAGGCTATTAAAATGACCATTGTCCATTTATGGTTATATGGTATGGTTTATAATATTTTGTTCATTCAGATTAGTAGTATGGTCATCGATGAATTATTAATAATTACAGTGTTAAACAAGTATACATACACACACTCACACACACATACACACACAAATTTACACACACACATGTATATATACTTTTAATTTTCCCAGTACAATTTAACACGTGTACAATATATGCATGTTTATGTTAACGTTTATTAGGAAATTAGGTAATCTCTTTCTGTGTGGTTATTTATGGTATTCAATTCGTGTTAATGATGGTCAAGAATTATTCGTTCATTCATTTTTTTGTCTGTTACTTTCACTCGTTCATTCATTCATTCTTTCTTTTATTCATTCATTCATTCGCTCATTCATTCAGCATTCGAATCGCCTTCCTTAATGATGATGAATGATGATGGTGGTATTGCTATGCTATAATGATATATTTATTTTGACGGTTGCGAATACGTCGTGGTGTTTTAGATTAACATTAATATTTTATTATTTTTCCATCATTTTAACTAACTAACTAAATAAATAATAACAAATAAATAAAAATGAAATAATTAAATAATAATAATTCTATGACTTAACTGCTTGATATGCGATTTCATTTTAAATTATTTTTCGTTGGATCCCATGGAATTCCTCCTAGTAAATTTTACTCTGTGTTGTCTGAAAATTAATATGAAACATACACACACACACACACACATGCAAACATACACACACACACACACCCACAAACACACACGCATATACAAACACACACACGCACGCACAAACACACACACACATTTACCGACAACTTTTCACAAACACACTTACGAAGCAGTGGCGAATAGTTTTTCTTCACTTTAAATAACTGAACAACTCAACCCAACGCCCAGGGCCATTGTATAGATAGCTTTGGTATCGGCACTCATCTGGTCACCTGCCAGAAACAACCTGCTCTTGGCTGCGTTTATAAAGTTGGTATCTGCTACTGGAATGAAATACCACACGCACGCACACACACGCACACACACACAACCATTCGTAGTTAGCGGAAGTCAATGGCAAACCTCGGATCAAACTAAGTGAAGATGTGGAGAAAGTGACGATGCCAGGAAAAAAGTTGGCCTACAGATTGTACGGGGTGGACGGGCACGCCCTGGTCGACCTTATGGCCCAACCAAATGAGGAACCCATCTTAGAGGGGGGTAAAATTCTTTGCAGACATCCTTTCCAAGTCAGTTTTGTGTGTGTGTTTGTTTGATTGATTGATTGTTCGTCTATGTGTGTGTGTGTGTGTGTTGTATTTCGTGTGTGTGTGTGTGTGTGTGTTGTATTGTGTGTGTGTGTTGTATTGTGTGTGTGTTTCTGATTTTACTTTGTTAGCAGATCATTTTTGTATGTCCGATTTGTGAATCTTGACCAAGTTAAATAGAAGCTCTTTCTTTTCATTCAAACTTTTGGAGAGTTATTTTTCGGATTTATTTATTCATAATTATTAACTAAAATTTATGAAATGTGTTGTAGGGGCAAACAAAAGGATTGTGTTGTATTGTATTGTATTATATGGTATTGTATTGTATTGTATGATATGGTATTGTATTGTATTGTATTGTATTTTATTGTATGGTATTGTATTGTATTGTATTGTATTGACAATTTGTACCCATTTTTTTAAATACCCGCATGGCTATCACAAGGAATCGAAGAGGGCCCACGTAACCCCGAAACGGGTCGAGCCCCTGTACAAGTGCTACTATAAGGACGGGAAAGTATGTTGTGTATTGTATATGTGAGCGTGTGTGCGCGTGTTTCTGTGCCTGCGTGTATGCGTTTTTGTTTGTTTGTTGTTTGTACGTTCGTTCGTTTGTTCGTTCGTTTGCTTCTCGTTCCCTTTTTTGCCCTTATCATCAAACAGTCATGCGTTACAACATTTTTTAAAATTTAAGCTTACCTACTTATATGCTAATATCAGCTCAAGACACGTGTAATTACAAATAAATTTATATATAAATAATAATATTAATAATAATAAAAGCAATAAATAAAAATGATTAAAAATGATAATAATTTCAGATAAATCAAAGACTGCCGACTCTAAATGAGATAAGGCAAAGAGCCCAGGAATCTCTCTCGCATATTAGAATGGACCATAAACGAGCTCTCAACCCAACACCCTACAAGGTAGAAAATTTCTTTCATTCATTCATTCATTCCATTCATTCATTCATTCATTCATTTATTCATTCATTCATTCAATCAATCATTCATTCATTCATTTATTCATTCATTCATTTTTTTATTCATTCATTCATACATTCCATTCATATATATATATATAAATTTATATAATTTTATATTTCGTATTTTTAAAATCACTTATTTCGTTGTGTTTGTGTGTGTATGTGTGAGTGTACGTGTGTTTGTGTATGTGTGCGTGCGTGTGTGTGATAGTTGGTAATTTGAATTTTGATTGACAGGTTTCAGTATCTGGACCCCTCTACAACTTCATGCATGATCTTTGGCTGGAGAACGCACCAATTGGACAGCTATATTAAAAATTCGCTCACCCATTCGTTACTTTTCTGTCATTCATTCATTCATTCATTCATTCATTCATTCATTCATTCATTTCCATAAATAGATGGCTCAGTCATCTGCTACCTCTTTTTTCATTCATTGATCCATTCATTCATTCATTCATTCATCCTCATGATTTTATCTTTGTTTGTATTAAAATATATTTATAGGTTGATTATAACATTGGTGTATTATATATATGTATATATATATAATATAACCATATATAAAAAAAATATATATATTTATGGTTATCTTGAACAATAGCATTGTTTGTATATTATACTGCTTATATTATTTCTGTGGTGTTAGTTGCTGTTGTTTGGCGAATGTACATTAGGAGTTAAATTTTAATAAATAAATAAATAAAAATATAAATTAATAGTGGTTGTAGTAGTAGTAGTTGTAGTAAATCTTAACTAGTGTTAAACATTCTTTTGCTGTGTTTTATAGCCGTATTTTGTATATCTTTTATTAAAAAGGGCATTGATGTTGTGTTTAATGTGATGGTCTAACTATTCCGTTATTGTACTCATTAAATGTAATAATGAATGTTATTATTATTAAATTTTTAAATTAATATCGTAATAATAATTTTGAAGCAATAAATTGTATTTTGACAATTGGATAATGTTATTATCGGGTGGTAGTTACACCTCTTCATACATGGTCTTGTTGAGTGAAAAAGTTTAACATTCTGTCACCGAAGGAATTTGATGGAGGAGAAAGTATGATTAGCATCGCAACTGTTACATGTGTGTGTATACGTTTGTTTGTTTGTTTGTGTGTGTGTGTGTGTGTGTGTAAGTTTGTTTGTGTGTGCGCTTATGTTTGTGTATGTTTTTTTATTGTCATCGTTTGTCTTCGAGTGTAGAATGCCTTTTATCATTTAACATGTCTACAGATCCTCTACTTTTTCAAAGGGTAAGCTTTATCTAACATTAGAGATATTTTTTAACTGATATATTTAGCATTTGATATATCAATTACGTTATGTATCTGAATATCATACTTATCATAATTTAAGTTTTCTGATATAGTCTGCTCACAAACATGAACCCATAATTTCGCAAAGCATTTTTAAAATCAACAAATAATATACCACGCAGTTTATATCCATGTATCTATGGTTATCTATTTTTAAGACATTGATACACAGAACTGCTTCTTGGAGAAAAAAATCTTCATCCGTAGAGTCGACATTCAATATCCAATTCCTCATTCGCCAATTTAGTTTTTTCTGCTATGTCATCGACTATCAAATGTGTATCATGCTGTATCATGAGTTTATTACGGCGACACACGCACATGCACGTACGCGCGCACACACAAAATCTAATAAACACTGATGTATATGTACTGTACCAGTACATTCTTTGGTTGTATTTTTTCTGTGGCTATATTTGCTATAGATGATTTTGTCTGTCTATCTCTGTGTCTATGTGTGTGTACTCGCATGTGTTTGTGTATGTGCTCGCATGTGTTTGTGTATGTGCTCGCATGTGTTTGTGTGTGTGATTAACTAATTATTCGTTCTGAGTCTATTTTTTACTCGGTATTTTATTCAAAGTTGGTTTTGCCAAAAATTTGCAGTTGGTTTGAGAAAGATTTTCCTAACTTTTTTACGTACATATACATAATTTTATGTATATGTACATAATTTTCTGTTTCACCAGTTGAAAATAAAAGTTTTGGCTTCATGCTAGTGTTCTATTTAAAATTCATCAATTTTTATTTTTCAAATGTAACGTTCACTATCATTATACCCCCAGACCACATGCGCAGATTGCATCTTATTATGTAATTATATTTGATGTAAACTTTTATCTATATTTTATTTTATGATAATTTTTAATGATTCTTATGTTTTTTTTGGTTGGTTTCTATTAGCTGGTGAACACGTGAATAAATATCTGTGCGCGTAGCCTCGTGTTTTGTTCATTTGTTTTAATCCTTAAGAAGTCAAATTTTGGTGAGTTTCGAGACAATGTTGGTGAGTATCTATAACTAAGACGCCATTACTTTACTTCTTCTTCATTACATAACTTTACATTACATAACTTCATATCATTGTAAAAACTTTCAATTCAAACTGCATACTTCTATAAAATACATAACATACCAACACAAATATGCTTCTAACAGTCTTCTTTCTCGTGCCTTATCCTTTCAGGGCAGTGGCGACCATCGACCTCCACAAAAGCCGATCCTTAACACTTAGTAGCAGTTAAAATGTGGTGATACTCAACAAGTGACACAAGAACTTCGCGAATTGTATTCGTTGTTGACCGCAATCTTTTTTCCCAGCAATCTTTTCAGCAGTTGTAACATTTTCCATTCTTTCCTTCGGCATGATGTGATCAAAAAAACTTTAACTGCCTCCGTCGGATTATCTGTAGCAATTTCCTCTTTTCATAACCGGGGAATGTTACAAGAAATTAATTTTTATCGGCAGCTATTAATTCAAATGAAAAAATATTCAAATAACAATTATTGTTTAATATAACGTCTCGAATAACGTACAATAACAATGACATGATGTTACAATTTTGTTGAAGAACACCAAAAATAAAATTTAATAATATCAACTAAAATAATACTAAAAACAAAACGCTATAAAAATAAATCTGTCATTAATTAAAATTTTTATAATTAGTCAAACACTGACTGTCGACTAGATAAATAAAATGATATATGTATGTGTGTGTATATATATATATATATATATATATATATATATATATATGTGCGCGCGCGCGTATGTTTGTGTTTATGTATGTGTACATTTGTGTGTGTGTGTGTGTGTGTGTGTGTGTGTGTGTGTACGAGTGTGTATTTGAGTGTGTTGTATGTATGTATGTGTGTATTTATGGGTTTGTTTAAAAGTACATTTATGCGTGTGTATGTTTAAGTATGTATTTGTGTGTATGTGTATATATCTATATGCATGTATGTATACATTTATTCATGTATACATCCGTAAAAGTATTTATTTGTGTGCGTGTGTGTGTATGTGTTTTGTGTGTGTATGTGTTTTGTGTGTGTATGTGTGTGTGTGATGATGACGTGCAATGGGATAACAAAAAACTTTGAAAATGTTATGAGGAGTATGAGTAATTAGAAAAAAATGGATGAATGAATAAATGAAAGGTTGAATGAATGGTTGAATGAATGAATGGATGAATAAATGGATGGATGAATGACTAAAAATAAGATTAACAAAATGATAATTCAAAAACACGCAATCAACAAAAAAGATAACAACATCAAAGTTCAAATATTAAATCCTCAACGACAATAACATTAAACATCATTAACTAATTACGTACCGAACAACTTATAAATGAAGAAAAAAATACGCGCTATACAACTCGCAACGATGACGTCATAATTAATATGCAGTATATCATATATTCCGTATCTTCGGTAATAACGGCCACGAATAAATAGTTTAGCGCTTGATTAAGCAAGTTTGATAGCGTGGATGGCGATATATTTAAAAAAAAAAATGAATGCTGACTGATTTTAGCTTATGCTCCTAACATTCATAAAGATAGGGAAAGAGAAGGATGTAACAATGCTTATGTGTTTTACAGAGAGAGAGAGACAGGAGAGAGACAGGAGAGAGAGAGAGAGAGAGAGACAGAGACAGAGAGAAAGAACAAAATAATTGCTGATAATTGCTGAATAATAACCAAAAATGACGTCTGACTAATATAATGTATGAAACACACGTATGCAATAAATGAATGACTAGTACATATATGAACACATCTGACATGAATGAATAAATGAATGGCGCTGGAGGAAGAATGAATAAAAATTTCGTCCACTCAATCGTTCGTTTAATCTTGTATTCATTCATTCATTCATTCATTCATTCATTCACTCTTTTGATTCAATCAAATTTCAAAATGTGCAACAACAACAACGGCTTCAGTTAGATGGATTGAATTTACAATTTGCAATTCAGATCAAAGTTAAATAAAACAACGAAAATAAATGATGACTATGGTTTGATACTCTTTAAAAACTGAAAACTAATTATTATAAAATGTTTTTATGCAAACAAAAAAAATATTCACGAATAAATAAGAAGCATGAACAGAAAATCCGAGTAACAGAATGTAATAACATAATATATATGTACGTAAGACTAGAAAACATGAACAAAAATTCAATATATATACAAGTGGATGTGTGTGTATGTATGTATGTATGTGTGTGAGTGTATGTATGTGTGTGTGTGTGCGTGTGTAATATAATATATGTATGTAAGACTAGATAACATGAACAAAAATTTAATATATATAAAAGTGGGTGTATGTACGTAGGTATGTATGCGTGTGTGTATGTGTGTGTGCGTGCATGTATGCATGCGTATGTGTGTGCGCGCGCGCGTGCGTGAGTTCGTGTGCATAACATAATGATGTTAAAGAAACCTTGATTAGATGGCATGAAACAAACAAAAATATTTCCAAACGAATGTGAAACGAAACGAAACAAGAAGAGCAGCTTGTTTGAAACATCTGTAGGCCAGCCGCAGACCATTGAATTAATAATACATTTCATGATGTGAAAGAAAATTAAAGAATAATATCACTAGCAATGAGTGTGTCGATAATAATAATAATAAAAATAATAATAATAGTAAAAAAATTCTACGGATAATAATATGAACAGATAATAACATCAATGAATGATTTATAATGGTAAGATAGAGTGACGTGAATTAGAGTTTCAGATAATTTGCTGTAAACTTATAATAATAACAGCGATTAATTAATTAACGAATTAAATATCAATACATCCTTTGACTATTAATTAATTAACCAATTAATTACATTTTAATACTAAATAATATCAGTACTAACGCTACCAATTAATTAATTAATACCACTTAAGAGAGAGACTCCAAACGAACTTAGTAGAACTTAGCACAGCAATTATTAAGCAAGGCGCTACCACCGATGACCTTTGACCTGCCACTCGCCAAGTTGATCCCGCCCATTCCGTCACCGACTCCGCCCTCGTCAAAAAATGACGGAATC